TTTTTTTTTAATTTAAATATAAAAATTAAACTGCGCCTCTACCTGAGAAAAATATTCATACATGAGCTCATAAATTTATGTTATAATATTTATAAAAATGAACAATTCAAAAACAAAAACATTACATTAAAATTCAATAAATCCTCGATTTCCTTTTACTAAGAATCTAAAATACCATGTTATTAGCATAGACCTTATACTCATAGACGGATCATCACTGGTTGGCGGAGTTGGGTGGTGCGGTCACTGCTATCCTCTTAGCAGTGTTTTCATTTCTGTTAACATAAAATATGTTTATTTATTTATTTTATTATAATAATATTGTAACATAATAATTAGGGCTCGGGACTATGTATTTGCAAATTTCAAATTTTCAAAACATTTGTTCGGAAAGTAAATAGAATAAGTCTGATTCGTTTTAAATTTGTTTTGTGGTGTCTGGATTGGAAATTTAAAAGTTTTTGCACATATTTATGCATACCTATTTCCAACTTTTTTCTTTTAAAATAATAAGCGTATTAAATAATTTTATGCTCGACCTAGTTAGTCCTATGCACATGCGCAGAAGAATGGAACAACATGTGCAGCGCAGCCACTGTTTACCACGGAAACTACTAGCATGTTCTGTCTATGGTTATTAGTTGAAGATGGATTCATTAGTATAAATAATAAATCGCTAATATTAAAAGAAAAACTTAACTTAGCATGTTCATCATTGCTGTTAATTACATAAACGTTCCTGTGGCAACCATAATTTTACTGACAAGCGCCTGTCACCGCTTGTGAATTGGGAGATTTGACATAATAGCTAATACGATAATGAATGGCTGATTAAAATTTCAATTGTAGCTATAGGCGTCTAATAAAGACTAAATAAGGAGAGTTCCATTGATACCCATTTACTCGTGTCAACTACACATTGACCATGGATTCCCATTTACTGTTGACTTTGTTAAAGCTTGAATATTGTTAATCCTTATTTAACTACTCAATGATACTGTTGTTTGTATATATTAGTATGTCATTACAATAATTGATCTATATTGATGTCTGAGTATCCTGTATTTTAGTGAATTATTACACTATTATCGTCCAATTTCCTATTTTTTTGTGTTTAGTCGATTAAATAATAAATTATATTAAATTCATGTTATTAATAAATATGTATATTTTTTAGGTTATGGAGATACTATAGTTGCTTCAAATCCTTTTGATGACACCCCGCCACCACAAGTGATGAACACAAATCATATGAATAGACAAATGATGAATTCTAGACCCATGATGTCTGGTAGTCCTTGTCACCAAATGGGTGGCTCACCTATGAATTGTGGTCCACCTATGGGTAGCCCAATGGGTGGACCTTGTGGTAGTAGCCCACATAGAAATCCTATGGTATGTGGACCCCCTATGATGAGTTGTGGTGCACCAGGAAACAGTCCACATGCATTATCTATGAATCGAAGTCCTTCTGCTATGGGCAGTCCACATATGGTGCCAAATATGCGTGGCAACAGCCCTATGGAATGTGCTGCCATGGTAAAACCATCTCTGAATTGTGCTTCACCTATGGGTAGTCCCATACCTCAAAATACCAATATGAATATCCATCCACCAATGTCTAGTCCCATGACAATGGGTCCTTCACCACTTAATGGTCATCCTAACTCAGGTCCTGGTGGTAGTCCCATGATGATGGGTCGAGGGGGTCCTTCACCTTTAACAAATAGTCCAATGTCTATGAATATGCCAGTTAGTTCAGCAGACATGAATGATATGAGTCCACACATGTCAGTAGACAATAACGGATGTCCAGTACGTGGGCCTCCGTGTCCAGGATCCAACAACATGACATCTGTTTCCATGGCTTGTAGGCAACCAATGTCAAATCAGCAGTGCAATAGTATGCCAGGGCCTAATAATATGATGAACTGTCCAAGAGGCATGCCTTGTCCCCAAATGATGCGAGGTCCACCTCAACCTTCTGAACAACATAGACTTATGCCCCCAATGATGCATCATTCTCAAATACCTAATAGTCAACAACCAGGTGGATATGGACCTGGACCTAATTCTAAGCCAATGCCAGTATCTGCTGGAAAGGTATAAGAAAATATTTTTAACTAATTATTAAATCTATCCTCTGTCCAATGAGAGAGCACAAACTTGTCTATTACTGCTCATTCCCACCTCTTAACCAGTGTGAGAGCTTACTGTTGAATCGTTATATAGTTGTATACGCCAGTCAGGTACACCGTATCCGAGATAATTTAGACCTTGAGACAGCAGAGCACGTTCATTTGGATGCCCGAGTTAGTCAGGCTCTCTCATTGAACAGAGTACATAAACTTCATAATTTTTTTTTTGTTCTGGTTAAATTTATAATATATAAATAAATTAAATGTATAAATCTTATCTGTACTATTATAGATTGAATTAATGATACATTTTTATTAAAAAAAAAAAAAAAAAACGTTTTTTTTCTTATTTATATTTAGTGCTGATGATTTATTTTCACTCTTATTTAATCTCAACAATTACCAATGAAAATAGTTTTTAACCACCATTACTATATAATTAAAATTAATATTTTGAGATAATGATTTTGATTAAAACAGTGTAATTAAGTTTAATGGAATGATTTTAAGAGATTGTTATTGAATACTAATTTTTTCAAGACTGGAAAGGAGAGAAAAAAGTAGTTTAACCCAGAGGTAAAATTTGGTAAAACAATAAGTTAATTAATAATTATATATTCAGTATCAAAACTGGTCACCTACACAAAACACACATTTATCAGTTCTGTTAAAAGTTTTTAATGTGCCTATTGTTAAAATAATATTTATCAATTTACCACACTTTATGCTTTTTGAAATGGGATAAAAAAACATTGTGTTCATATAGACAAGTGGATTTGTTTTAGATTTCAAATATTTCTTCCTAGTTTTTTACTTAAGTTTGGAGTAGCTTGGGCTTTCACGATCTTGAATACATATGATTTACCTAACTTGAAGTACTTCTAAATATTTTGGATTGTTAACCAATTTGATATGGATTTTTTAGAATATAGCCACTAAGATCAGTTATAAAATAAATATAATATGTATATAATTTTATATGTATTAAGGGGATCAGTGACTGACAGTTTTTATGGAGTTTGAATTGGTTAATTTTCAAATTGCGTGCATGTGGGTTTTGTACATTTGTGCATAGTAAGTGATGATTAGTGTGTATTCCTGTGTGTAAAAATAATAGCGCTCCCGCACACACTTATACACACTGCCTTGGTTTTGTACGCATGAATTGTAAACAATTCATGTATGTACTTTTTTGTTCATCCTACCGATCGACCTAATAATGTGACAATATTTCAGAAAACTAATCTAAATTTGCTATAATGTCAACTTATGATTGGTCAGTCTACATTAAAGGATATCTGATTGTTTTCGACGTTTGAAACTCTGAAATTTTAAAATATTCCAACTAAATCAATAGGTATTGGGGAGGACAACTGGGAAAAGTGAACTGTACAATCCCAAGTAAACATAATAACAAATTCTAATCAACTAAACAAAGTATTATCATATTAATAGGTTGATATATTTTGACTAAAATAACTGGTCCTAACTGATTCCTATTAATAGTTGTTATTATGTTAGTAGGTATAATGTATAATAGTTTAAATGAAATATAATAATTATCATTAAGTTCTCAATAAATATGTTTAATGGATTTTATAGTATACTGTATACCTGACATTATTTAATCTTATTCGACTAATCTGTTATTTATCAATAAATTAGAATACCTACTTAATACTAAATGATAATAATTATAATAATGAATGTGTTTAAAGAAAAAATGAATTGGCTGTAGATGGTTTTATTGCTTTATTTAATTATTAAAAATTGGAGCTTGAATTTTTACCCAATTAAAATTATTCCCTGTATTTTCTCTGAAGTGTAATGAAAAAAACACATATCATTTACCTAAAGTGGGATTTGACTATTATTTTTTATTCATATTCTAAACATGTATCAAAAGATATTATGACAATTAAAATATTGGTAAATTATTATCTTTATTTCTTAGTAAATTCATAAATTTTATAGATAAGTGTTTTTGTTTCAAAACAAGATTCAAATTCAAACTAAAACAAAAGGGTTCAATTCCAATTTAAAAAATATTTTTTTTTGCTGTTTATTTCAAGGAAACAAAAAGGTTAGCAATTTTAATTTTTTGAGATTTAGAGTCATAATCATCCCTAAAAGACCACGCATAATTTACTAGTAGCATTGATGTCGCCAAAATAATAGAAATGCAACCCCTACAGCAGTATGTACCGCTGTATGCATTAAAAATATTCCTAATCAAATTCATGCTCGTTTAGTTGAAAATTTTAGTGTTTCTTTAAATTGATATTTCACTGTATATTTATATGTATGACATGATATGTATAACTTTGTATAAATTATAGTTGTTTATAATCTGAGTTTTAATGTTTAATGATAAACTTTCAGATATACCCTCATGATCAACCAATGGTGTTCAATCCACAAAATCCAAATGCCCCACCAATTTATCCTTGTGGTAACTGTCATAAAGAAGTTCATGACAATGATCAAGCTGTTTTATGTGAATCTGGTTGTAATTTTTGGTTTCATAGGTATTTATTAAAAGTTTGAAATAAATAAATTTTGTATTGAATGATGAATAGTGTTGCACAACCATTTCTTAAGGTTAATTGGTATTGTATCATAATATTAAATAACAAATAATATCAATTCCATAATATTGAGAGAAACGTATAAACAGATTTTCTTTTGGGTGGACCTATACTAACTCTTTATAATATCTCTGTCAGACTAATAATGTGTTATATTGTTGTTTGACATTATCTAATGAAACTTTTATTTTTATTTTTTTGTTAAAAGAAATACAAACGAATTGATATCAATATTGATGGTTTTTCGATAGTTTACTACCATAAATATCTGAGCATTTAATCATTATTGATACTATTGTGCATCATTACTATTGTGTTTAATGTTATTATATTATTAATGTATTGTTAATATTTTCAGGGTTTGTACAGGCTTGATGGAGCCTGCATTCCAGTTACTTACTGCTGAAGTATACGCTGAGTGGGTGTGTGACAAATGTCTACAAACAAAAAATATACCCTTGGTAAAATACAAACCCTAACGAATATATTTAACATCTCTCAACCCTAAATTACTTTAGCTTTCATGCACTGAATGTTACAATATTTACAGTGCTTCAAACTTTCAATGGATTAAGTACTTAATCTCAGTTACGAGCATTAACACAATTTCAAATACTTTTTATTTGTGTATGATTATAATTTATATGAAATCAAAAATAATTATTTTTGAGTTATTATCAGTCTTATTAATATTTGTTTTATATTTATGTGTGCATATATATATTACATTTATGTTTTTATTGAGTTACGACTGAGGTTCAAAATGATGATGTGTAGCGTATAAAAATTCCTCCTTTGTACTCATCAGTATTTCAACTACTTGCATACATTGAGCGTTTTGCCATTTGATTTTTATTTGGCATTTAAAAAATCTAAAGTTCCTTCGAATATACAACAAATTGGGCCTTTTCCTTTTCTATCTACTAATGCATTGTCTTATTGCCACTTTTATCTTCTTTATTATTTTACTTTTATTACTTTTTTCACAAATGAATTGTTTTTATATAATGCAGAATGCTCTTAACAATGTCATGATTTATTATATATTTGTGTATATCTATTATCGTTGATTATAAATACTTGTGTTTGTAATCAATGATGTATTGAAAAAAAAAAAAATTTTTTTTAGAAAATAATTTAACACAATCAATATGTTTGTAAATAGTTAGTTCAATTAAAAAATATATTAAAATCGAGAAACTTAYGAACTTGAGATTGTAAGTTCTAAGTGTTACATGTAACTAAATAAAGTAAAATATAAAATTTGTAATCATTTTTTGTATATTTATAATTCACTCTAGCAGCAGTGTATCACTCAATTTAATATATAATAATGAAATCAAACTATTTTGCAGATTGTTCAGTGAATATTTGTACATCTAGAGCAATTAGCAGAACAATCAGTTTGTCTTTTTTCTGGAATATAAATGTCATCAAGTTCCAAGCACCGTTTATTACTATATTCAACTGATCATATTGAATGGTGTATTTTTAAAAACTTCAAGTACAAGTTTATATTATATTGTTTTCAGTGAAATTTTTGATAGTTTTAGTTGTATTATAATTAATATGCTAAAACATTCAGTATTTATTTCAAATTTATAGAAAT